CTGCCCCGCAGTTTTATCAACTAAATAGCTTAATCGCTCAAGAGCTACATTATCTTTCTCAACAAGGAGCTGGTAGCATCATTGTTTCTAAAGGAATTAAAGCCACAGCTTCACTGTTAATAGAGAAATGTGGCAAAACGGTGGTAATTCATACATACACAGCCTCTCTCTTTCTCTCTCTCATAAATGAACACTCGATGAATTACACTTTTCTGAGACTAGAACATTGAAGTGGAGATCGCTAAACGGCAAGCTAACTGCTGTTTTCAGAAAGCAAGCACATTTATCCACAGTGGAGAGAGAGCGCATGTACACATGGTTGCCAGGTTGACAAAGATAAGTAGCACATTTAGCAGATATTTCCATATTCCACAAGTGTGAAGCTCTGTTTCAGGGATTACGTCTCTTTATATCAGGCAACCCAGTTGTGTTCCTCTGCGGCCAGATTAAACCTAGTTATAGCCTATATATTATTCTCTATTCATTATTTTTTAGAAACCTCGCACTTTTCTGCATTCTTTTTTAGAAACCTTGCACTTTTCTACTCAATTTGAAATGTTGTAAAAATTTAAACAAATTAAGCGCGGTCCACTGTTGCACACGTGCCACAATATCGATACAGGGCCAGCTGTATCGATACTCGTATAGTCAAATCTCTGTGACGATACATCGTCGTATCGATATTTTGAACACAGCACTAGTGAATAAAAGTGTTAATTTCTTTAAAAATTAACCTTACTGGCCCCAACATTTTGAACAGTATTGAACTTATTTCTTAAGTAGCTAAATTACAGTCGGTCTGTTATTATCACAAAATGAAGTCACATTCGAATTGTTTTTTTTTCTATTGTCCTCATAAAAAAATAATAAAAAAAAAAAAGATACAGTGTTTGTCATATTGCAGGTACTTTATGATCTGGAGAGAGTTCTGACCCAGAAACTTACTGAATGTCCCATATTTCCCAGAAACACTTATGTTTCACCTTATGTTTCACCTTAAGTCTGAATCTTGGTTCTGTTGCTGTGCAATAACGCTACAAAGTATCCACAGATCATGTTTAAATAGAGGGATGTTAATGTGTGTGATCCACGTGAATGGCTCTTACAGCGTCCTGATGGGTGCAGGGAAGATGGATCTGTCTGTGGTTTTGTCCAGTTCATGAGTTAAGTGCACAGATGGTCCTGACAGCTCGCAGACAGGAGCCTTTCATTATGTTTGATCAGTGTCTCTTTCTCGGTTTCTCTCTCACATGCAGGAAAGACCAGAATCTCCTGTCTCCGGTGAACTGCTGGTACCTGTTGCTGAACCAGGTTCGACGGGAGAGCAAAGACCATGCGACACTGAGTGACATTTATCTGAACAACGTCATCATGCGCTTCATGCAGATTAGTGAAGACTCCACGCGTCTTGTCAAAAAGGTCAGAACTATTTTCGATTACATTTCCAAGATGTGCTGTCTCTAAATGTCCCGTCAGAAGAGTCTCAAAATAAATTTTTAACTCCTGAAACCAAGTTGATTTGTATTTACAACCCTCTACGCACACCTTGGCAATATAATCGCCATTGGCTAGTAAATTATTTTGTTTACTCGCCAGACTGATATACTATTTTACACACACACACACACACACACACACACACACACACGCGCGCGCGTTTACTTAGCTATCTAAATGGGGACATTACATAGACTTCAATTGTTTTTATATACAGATAGTTATACACTTTTTAACCTAAACGCACAACTAGTGATTAGAACTAAAACTTGGTAACCATGAATGAATGCATATTTGTCATTTTAACTGAACTTAGGTCTGGTGGTGGTGTTTAAGATATTGTTGGTCATAGGTAATAGTAATTATTATGAAAAGATACTACTACTACTACTATTATTATCTGCTGGGTTCGTGAATATTAATCACGTTGTCAGCGTTCGCTCGAACTGATTTGCTGAAATCAAAACGGATGGTAATAGATGAGCACCAGCCAACGAGAGCTGATCGTGCATTAGCTCCGCCCACTGCCGAGAAACCGGCATATCTTCTGCTTGTTCTTAAAAGCTGAATAATTCTAAATGAACTCTGTTATTTTGACAGGAAAATACAACAAAGAATATGGTTTACATGTAGCGTGTCGATTCAGCGTGGTATGCAAGACTCTCGCTCTCTCT